GGGGGGGGGGTGGAAAGGGGATGACCTGGGAAAGAAGACAACAGCGGGCACGTCCATGAGCAGAAGACCGCGGTGGACAGCTGGGCCCTGCTGGGGAGCTCCCGGGGGGAGGGGGCGGCAGGGCGGGGGCGGCGGGGACAGTACCGAACACGTGTCGGGGTCTGCTACCTGAGAGGCAGGGAAGCTGGGGTGTGTATCCCTGCACTCGTCTCTCTCGTTGGCTGAGGACAGGCCCGGCACTGTTCCCTGTCCCTCCAGCTTGCCGCTTAGGAGAGCCACCCATGCTGACGTGGCCGGACGATACCCGCATACGGACAGTCACAAGCGCTCGCCGTCGTGCTCCGTGTGCGGGGACAGTGTTAGCCCCATGGGGGTTCGGGCAGGGCGCTGGCGGCCTCTGCTCCAGCCACGACTGAAGCTCAGGCGGAGAAGCGCAGTCGAGAAATGTGTGCTCTCTGATATATCTGGCTGTGTGGACAAGGGAAATGCTACTCCACGTCCAAGTGAAATGGACGGTGTCGTGTGAGGCGTGCGTGTGTGTGTGTGTGTGCGCGCGTGAGAGAGTGTCAGCTCTTAAAGCCACCACGGCGTCCAGTGGAGGTTGTGGCCTACTCCCTGGCCCCCGCCGGGTGAACCCCTAGGCCTTCTGGCCACGGGTGCACTGGACGAGGCTCTCACCCTGGCTGCGCGTGCATCCCAGTGTGCGTCAGTGGGCCTGGCAGCGCTTAGCGTGCTTCAGCCGGCCCCTCCACTTGCACTCCCTAATTGCCTGGTCTTCCCACAAGACGAGGGGTTTAAAAAACATGGCTCCGAGTGCACACCGTCCTTGGAGCCCTGCAAGCACGTTAATGAGCCCACTGGCTGATTATAAGGACTCCGATGGCTGCCCTCCCCTACAGCAGCCTGACCTAGATGCACATGCTGAGAAAACTCACGGCCAGGCTAAGATATGCTAGTGGGAGAAGAGAGTTCAGTTAATTGCAAGATAATTGAGCCAATTTACAATTAGCAAACTGGTTTGTGCCATACCCATCGAGGTCTAGGTCTCGATTTTGCCACCTCTCCCCTGCTGCAGCTAATTAGAGGGACCAGCCAGAGAACATGGACTACGGGGAGCAAGTGAAGGTGAAGATACGTTGCTTGTTGGCCTCATCTCTGGTTAACCCTCCGTCACTTGCCCTGAGACTGACGTGTCTTTCCTGTGTTCAGGCCCCAAGACACATTATGGCAAATCCCTGGGTGGGGGGGATGCTATAGCTCTGGGAGATCATGTGACTGAGGGCCCCTCCCACAGTCCATTACGGAGACGGAAAGGCAGACCTTATCCAGAAGCATCATGATAGGGAGAGGGACCACGGCAATGGGATTTTCCAGTGGGGGGGTGGGGGGGCGGAGAGATTGGGCTCAACTCGGAATGCGGCATGGGCACGTGGGCGTTTATAGCCAAGGAGCAGGATGGGAGTCGGTGGGTGGAAAATTACTAAGAGGAAACATCAGGAGTATGGGGGATTCTGGCTAAACAGAGCCAACAGGATCCTCTGCTGAAGACAGGCCAGGGTGATCAAGGCATCGCCTGGGGGATGGTGGAGGATGAGCAATGTGATTGGGTATGGAGGGTGGGGGGTTCTGGTTAAACTGACGCAGCAGGGTTCTTGCCAAAACTGGCTTCTACAAGGAAGCGCACAGATGGGCCTAGGAGTAGGTTCTGGAGCCTGACTAAAGTTTGGTCAAGAAGAGAATCTCTGTCACATGGAGTGCCTGGCTGGCTCAGTCAATAGAGCATGAGACTTTTGATCTTGGTGGGGTGAGTTCAAGCCCCTCACTGGGCATAGAGCTTCTATATATATATATATATATATATAAATCTCTGTCACCATCAACTTGTAATTTGGAAATGTTCCTGTTCAAGGTAACAGAACTGGCCTTCAATATATTAGGTTTGTAGACTCCTGAGCTGGGAGAATATGAATAATTGTCACAGAGCATGTGGTCGGGGCCCAGCTAAAATGAACTGAACAACTATTTAATGGAAAACTGGTCCAGGGAAAATGTCTTGATCATTAAACTGACTCTTTGCAGGCTATGACTCAAGTGCATTATCTGGGGTCACCCTAGAGACTTGATGGGTAAACACAGTTCCTAAAAACCACAACCAGTCTTGGGCTTCAGTAAATGACCTTTGACCACCTTCATTACAATGAACCAATCTTGAACTGACAAGCTATGTCTTGTTCAGTCAGTCTTCATGAAACTTTCCAGCTTTGATTTTATAAGTCCCACCCTTGCTTTTTTTCTGAGAGAGTCTCCATGTGGGCTGCTCTCTCTTGTGTAGTTTTTTTTTTAATATTTATTTATTTGAGAGAGAGAGAGCATGAGCGGGGCCGGGGGGCGGGGCAGAGGGAGATGGAGAAGCAGACTCCTTGCTGAGTAGAGAGCCCGACATGGGGCTCGATCCCAGGGTCCTGGGATCATGACCTGAGCCAAAGGCAGACGCTTAACCGACTGAGCCACCCAGGCATCCCCTATACAGCATTTTAGCAAC